ATTAAAGAATCGGGCTTTTTCAAATCAATCACATCCTTGGACAATCTGACAACTTTGACATCGAGAAGGCTGCCAACATCACCTGCAATGATTGAGTCTGGTGCGCAACAGAACTCAAGCAAGACATTCATTCCTGATCCTTTAGCATCTGCAGCTCTAGTGGCGTGCTCCGCACCACCACTGATCGACGAGGGCTGATAAGGAGACACTGAATATGCAAACCAATCTCAATAAGATCACTGAAAATGGCAGCACAAGCCATCACACCTTTGATGGGAGCGACGAGAACTGGGGTTCGATCACCTTCTTGCGAAGAGATATCATGTGCCCCCCCTGCTAGCTCGCTGGGAGGGGTGACAGGCACAAATGAATCATGGTCAAACGCCTCAGGCATGATGCTGGGTGAGTACTCAAGATCATTGGTACCCTTGCTAAGCGGATCTTCCCCGGCCTTGTCAGATGGAAAGACAGCCACAGACTCTGATTTATCGTGAGCCTCAGCCTGAAATGAGTGATGACAGGAAGATGAGGCATCGCCAAGAGCTTTAGCTTCTGGTATGGCGGCCTTAGGATGTCTCTCATGAACAAATGCCGCCGTTTCACGCACTCCGGCCTGGCCTACATGCCTCACATCCTTCTGACGGGCCGATCTCATCGATGCGGCGTTGGGTTGTATACATGCGCTTGGACGTAGTCGTCCCCTGCGAAAGGGAGAATCATGCCGGAAGGAGCATCTGGGGCTTTAGGAACCGGATCACGAAAGTCATAGAGAGCTCGATCGGCTGCGGCCTTGAGTGGGAAGATTGCTTCTGAAGGAACATGTAGCTCAACCTCAGGAACACTTAGGAACAAACCAATTCTTATGCCTATCTTGCAGGGCTGCATAGTGCAGAACAAGTGTCACCGATCGGTAGAGGCGAAAAAGCCAGGACTGGCATTGGGTGAAACACATCCTTCCGGCGATAAAACAAAAGTTGGCCAAGCGAATGGATTGGTGCACTGACACCCTCTCCTTTGATTTTGGTCCAATTTTTCCTGGCAATCGAAAGTGCAGCGGCGGCATACTTGCATGATACAGGCCAAACTTCCGGTCTGACGGCAAAGCCTGCTGCAAGATGAACCGCACGTACCGTTTCGACAAAGCTTCGCATCTCCCGCTCTAGGACACTATTGCGAGGCCACCTACAAGGCAATGAAGCGCTGGGCAACCATCCGAGATCACGGACTGCTTTGATGATTTCTTCAGCCTGATCACTCTTTACAATAATATCCGGATTTTCCCCAAGTGTAGGACCAACAAACTTTCTCAAGCTGTCAAACACATGGTCAGACCCTTTGGTTGATGCTGGATAAGATTGAATCACGCCAGTGAATGTATCACGAACAACAAGTGCGACAAACTCCTTGCCCGATGATGATGACTTGTGGACAATGAGATGGTCGGCAGCAAGTTGAGAACCAAAAGAAACTGTCTCTGGCAACTCTGAGGGTTCATCACGGTTACGTCGAACACGTTTTGCACAAAGGCGTGCCTGGTTGCAAACATCACAGTGCGCGCACTTCGGATATGGGCTAGACGATGCTCAGGCATAGAAGCTTCTGCCCGCTTGGGATGAATCGGAACAGGTGCTAAATCAGCGATTAGCGGATTGGAATCTGGAGGGGCCTTCGCAACCACCTCCCCGGGCACCCCATGGGCAAACGTGAATTCAGATTTGAAAGTCGGCACATTTTAATCGATACAATCTGCATAAATGCGATTGGACTCAGGGCAATGCAACCGCAATTCATCGGGATCTGCAACAAAGAATGGTTTCATCCCCGCAAACCACACGGGTTCACTAGCATTGCTAATCAAACGCTGATAGGTGGACTGGGGGATTCCCTGCTGCGAAAGGGCGAGGCCAAATGCCGGCCAGCACATGTGTCTGCCCCCCTTTCGACGGAAATCTTATTCCCACCGACGCCTAAAACGATGCTGATGCAAGCATGGCGCATGCAAAAGTAGGCATGGCCTCAGCGATTACTTTTGGGCTAGCCTTAGGCTTCGCCTTGGAAGGATGCTTGCCATGCTGATCGGACTGGCCAACTTTAGTGTGAGAATATTTGCATTGCTCACCATGATGGCACCCGGTTGACATATTGAAGAAAACACAACGGGTCTTGGCCTTTTCCTCAGGGGAAAGGCACCATGGGCCTTTGGAGGCAGGGAAGGGCTAGCCTTCTTCAAGTAATAGTCTTGCACGGACTTGACGTTGATATCCTCCCTTTCATGAAGAAGCAAATTGCTTAGCTCATCCCAGAAACAGTTGAAACCGCTCATGGGGCTGTCCTTTGGGGATTCACGGATAGCCTCAATGCGCCTCTCCAATTTCCTGCAACTCTTGATCTTATTGATGGAATTGAGGGATTGTCAAACCAGCCGGTTCCAACGCTAGCAGTGCTGTGGTGGTCAACACTGAACCTCGAGTCCTCAGAAGTTCAGAAGTTCAATCTGATGAGTCATGCGGAAGCTACCTGATGCTGAAGCTCTTCAATCTGGGATTTGTGGGTGAGCATTTGCTGCTGCATCATGCTAATATTTTGGTCCCTCTCATGAGTGGCCTTCTTCATTGAGTTCATGACTTCAAGTTGATGACCCATCTGCTGGACCAAATTAGCAATTTCCTTCTTGGCTTGATCATAGATCTCTTGGGCGATTCCTTCAGCTGCCTCAGCCCTCCTACGTTGACTCACATCGGATTGGCGGGCATGGTCAACAGCTTGCCGGGCTTCATCAACGACACGCGCAAACAGAGTCGGGTCCACACCAACTGCTGCAACATTGATCGTCTGTTGATGAAGGATGTTCACGGTCGGGTCCCAGGCAAGGCCATTGAGCTGATTAAACTGCTGAACCGTTGGACCACCCGTCATTTGAGGAATTTGGGGTTGGTCCAAGCTCACGTCATTGGGATCGCTGCTCAAAAGCTGATTCATGGGCACCATTTTTTGTGACTGAACATGGTTCTGACTGTCAGGAGTATTGGCCGTGCTGAATCGTTACGGCCCCGATGACCGAGAATCTGACCTAGACCTTGTGGCGCCGGGACAAGCTCCCATAAGAGACCTTGATCTAGAGCCTGACGACACTTGCAAAGAGTCTGTTCGATCAGGCGATGATTGCGACATTGCTGGCATGCATTATGAAAGGCATAGGATGGGGATGAATATGCGAATGATCATGCACCTGCCGGGATCGCACACAGGCTGCTATTTCACACACTCGGCAGTTGCTGGTCTCCACAAATGGCGGAAAGATTCCTCGGGTGATGCTGATCCAAGATCACCTGAATCATCGGCAATGCAATAGTGACAGACCAGAAACACTGCACGTTCGGGCACCGCGGCTTGCGAGGCACCCTGATTCCAATAGCCGCGCACCAACGATTGGAGTTGATCTCCTCAAGAACGTTCTTGTCGTCGTCCAAGTGGATCACCCTTGCGCGCGGATAAATAGAAGTCAAGGCCTCAAGCTTCCCTCCGGGCCACACTGAGGTACAAAAATTGCACGGTTAAAAGAGGTATAGTGACGCTCGTGAGAAAGTGCCTTCACCGCTCCTGCAAAGTTGTCGTTCGCACATGTTCGCACGAATGCTGCCGCGGACCTTCGGGATATACGAACCAAAGCCCGTCTCCACCATGGTGCCCACGCCGCTTTTCAGCGAAACTTTTGGACAGGATGTCGTCTTCCAGGTTGCCCAACACGCAACTGGCGTTGGCCAGCTGGGGCAGCGCAGGTGGACCTTGCTGCGCGCCACCGTTCGGACGAACTCGAAAACCTGCTGCCCTCCAAAAAAAGCTCGGGCCGAGCATTTGGTCGACGCTGAAAGGCTTGGTCGGGGAAGCAGATGGCGTCCGACAACAACGTTGAGGCCAGGGTAACGCAAACGCAAATCTGCAATTGCTTCAATGTTCCTCAGCGGAAGATGGCAGTCGTCAGCCGAAAATCCGACGCGCTCTGGCGGCCTGAGCCCACGGTCGATCGCGAAGAGCTCGATTCAGTACCGAACCAGATCCAGCAGGGCGAGGCAAAGCCTTGGCCAAGGGACGGACGGCCGACGCTCCTCACTCTCGGACTCGTCAACTTCCCAGACCAACGAGCGGGGGGGCAGGCGCCGAAGCAGCCGAGGCACCGCTCGCGGCGGTGGCGACCTCCAGCTCCAGCTCCTGATCCTCCTCCTCGGGCTCCTTAAAAAGCTGAGCCTGCAACTCCGCCTCCAACTCCGAACTGACCCAACCTGCACGGGTGTGCAAAGGCCTCAAAGATCCGTCGGCGCTCCGCACCTAGCCTTCTTCGGATCCGGCTGCGTCCGAATACAAGCGTCCCTCCTCGCTCGTGCTTTCTTCCCGCCACGAATGCCCCTTGAGCCAAAAGTAATGCCAAAAGCGTGTTGCTTGAAAGGCATATTCAACAACGAATTTAGGAAACCGCATTGTGAAGAGGAAGTTGCATGAAGGGCTGTGGTGCAAACCCCATGCAACTCAACTGTAATGCAATGTAGTAAGTACGTAAGTATGGAAGGTATGTGTGGAAGGGTATGCAGGAATGCATGTAAGTAAGTAAGTAAGTAAGTAAGTACGTAAGTAAGTAAGTATAAGTAAGTAAGAATGTGTGTACGTACGTAGGTATGTATGTATCTATGCCTCGAACAGAGAGTGAATTTCACTTTTCCCCAGCAGTCTCTGTTAAATAGTGTAGAAACGGGGCCTGGTCCGGCCAGGCTCCCCCTGAAGGTTTACCCTGAAAGCTCATTTGGGGTCATTTCAGGGATTCCGTTTTGTGGATACCTGGGCTGAACCCTGGCGGCACCAGGGCACAAAAGACAGGTGCCAAATACCAAAGTCTGAATCTCCCAATTCAACTGCAAATGGACAACTAGGGAACCCCTATGAAAATACCTGGGTTGGTTTACTTGTGGTATACCGATGGCATCCGATGGCATCCGGGGCCGAGCGGCTCGGGTTGGACCTCGGTGATTCGAAAGTCGGAGTCGCAGGAGAGCGCCAGCGCCGGTTTCCTTTGAGTTGGCTCCGCGGCCTTGCACCTTTGTACCACCTGGCAAGGCTGCAAAGCAATACTCGGTTGCAAAATCTGCTCCTCTGTAAGTTTAACTTTGAGTGGTTTAAAACGGAAAACCCATTAGTTGGCAATAAAGTGATAAACAGCCCTTGGCAAAATGCACCAAGGAATAGCTTGTGGCCAACCTGGGAAGGCACCCAACCAACAGCTTGTGAGACCTGAGCTTTGCATAAATCGGTGCAAAACTAATTTTGATTCTTTGCATTGTGTTGGGGTAGGGCCAGAGCCTCAATGGGTCGACTCATGAACCCAAGACCTCGTCGAAAAGGGGTGCAAAACGGGTCGCCGGCCCAAACTAGATACAGCCCAAAACCACAAGCCCAGCTGCGTCAGAATTAAGGACCGGACTAGTTTAAACCAACACAAATCGACGGCAAGGATTGGGTATGAGTCCATGTCTGAGACCAGGGATGTCGTCTTCTAAAAGTCGTACCTTTGGCCGCGGGCACCCTGAACTCTGACGGGATGTGTGTTGCGCCGCGTGAGGGTGCCCTTTCCAGGTTGGATTGTTGAAAACCACAGGAAAGCCACCATCCTCGGGCTTCTCCTATTTGGCACATATCGTTGATGGTTGACTCCAAAGCCCCTATGAAGTATGCGGTATGCTCTTCGAAATTGCCGCAGCCAATCACATGCCTCCCGCAGCTCAACTTGTCGCCATGGGCGCTGGAAAGTTCAAGTTGGCAAAAGGGTGCCAGGGCACCGCAAGGTTGTCTCTGCTTTTCATTGTATGGGTCGGAATCATAAATTTGGCGGGGAGGTTCGTGTTTAGGTGGGGACTTATGCCCGACAACCACGTGGAAGGGTATTCCTAGTAGGGTACTCCTATTTTAAAGAAAGACATGGCCATATAAGAACTGCGCAAGGGACATGTGTACACGTGCCAAACTGCCTGCCGAAAACGGGCTTGTGAGCAAAAAATATCGACCCCCTGCTTTTGCTGGGGACATCTTAAAGGCCATGCTCAATTCTGTTTAAAGGGAGCCCCCGTCCCAAACAAATTGTAGTTTAGCGCGAGTATGGACTCAAATTTGGCCGGAGTCGCCAGGCTCAGCAAAGGCTTGCTGAGGAAGTTCAGGAGCCAATGGAAAGCCATCTGCCGAGCGGAAAACAAACACAAACATATGTTGTTGGAGCTGCCCCAAGTTGGCCCCCCAAGCATTGTTTATCCCCAAGGCTCATGACCCTTGGCCCACATCTGGAGCACATGCCTTGTTCAATTTATGTGCCATATTTAGCCTACCCTAACCAACCCTTGTACCTTCTTCACCCTTCCGGGAACCATGCCCGCGATTTTCCTACCATCCCACTTCAAGTCGTCCGTGCTGTATTGCAAGTAGTCTCCCACCAATTAATGTGGAACCTGACAGGGGGGTCCTGGAAGACCATTATCCTTTTAAAGGAACATGTCATAAAGTTCAGCAAGTCAGGAAGTGAGTGGCCAAAGGGCCCTTCTCTTCTTCAAGAAGGTCTTGAATAAGAAGGCACATGGGTAAAGGCAAAATGTTCTCCCAACAGCCACTGCGCCCAGCTTCGGCTGAGTTTTTGAACTAAGTTTGCTGGCCAGAACATGTCTTACCCTCTTTCCAACAATCGTGGAAGTGGCCAGGGGGGGGGGGTGGAAGACTACAATCCTCTGCGGAAAGGCCCTCTGTCCACTTCCGCGAAAAGAGGGTGACTTGCCGGGCATTGAGTGCAAAAACGAACCTAGCAACCAGAAGTTCAAATTGCCAACTCGACGGGTCAGGTTTCTTCCATCCCAGGAAAATCCACATGGAATCAAACACTGGGCGTGGTTCACAAGGGACGACACCTGTAAAATCGGCAGATTCGTGTTGAACGACCTATCCCTGCGCAACAAGTTTAATTTGGTTAGGGTTTCTGGGAAGACACACATTGTCACATTGTCCCCAACAAGTATAAAGTCAAAAATCCAAAGAGACTTTGCTGGTCGAAAAGGACCAAAGCTAGTATGCTGTTTGTTGTTCAGCTTCCCTTGTGTCTGAAGTCTAGCCTGTGCTTCGACTAAAACACGCACCACAAGGAACACCTTCACCAGCAACATGTGCAATCATTTGCGCATGTAACCAGGAACAAATGTAAGAAGTCATTCCGTAAAGGTTTCCACTAGCCCGAACTACTACCTCCAGGCCTCCAGGGAAAAGCAGGGCAAATACCGACCTACAAATAGTGGTCGCATATCTCATCAACTTCCTGGGGGTAGTGGCTTGCACAGGGTTCCCTGCGCCGCCCCGACGAAAGACGCCTGCACCAGCGGGGCATGCGACGCTGGCTTGATGTTCCGCAACTCAAAGGCCATGGTGACGAGCCGGTCCGCTCGAATGAGCCAAACTGCGGCATGTGGATCTATGTTTGCCCGGTGGATTCCTACACCGCTACAGTGCTAACACAGTGCAACCATCGGATCCACGGTTGAACCCAAAATGTTGGCTATATAGAGATGCCCTGAGAAAAGGCAGATACTATCTACAGCCGAGGTGTTTCAGCCCGGACCCGTTGCTATGGATCAAAATAATCCCTCTGGTTTGGATTGACTTTAACGGAACCTTTGAAAAATGAATGAACCAGGCACTGCTCTGGACACAGCATCATCTCGGCATCATCTCTCACGCAAACACCCATCTGCTAAACGTGCCAAACACAGGGCTGGAAAAGCTCGACGAATTCATAGCCCTCCCAAGTTGGGAAAAATGTAATGTACATTGAGTGCTCAACTGGCCTGCTTTTGCAGCTTCACTTCGTTTCGTCGGCTGAAATCAAGAAAGGCCAAACAAAAGGTCCGTGCGGAGGACCTCTCACAACTATCATTAGCGCAGCCCGGGAGCGATCCCATGATCCCAAAACATATGTTAAGAGTGCAGCCAAACGCCCAAAACAAGAAACAACAAATCCTGAACTAAGAATTTGATTCACAAGTGAAGGGCCTGCATCGTGGCAATTAAGGGTTCCCTTCTCGACCAATCTGAAACCCCATGAACGATCTGAAAAGGGACAATTACGGAAACCCAAAACGGCGGAAAACACAACTTACTAAGCCCTGCCATTCGGAAGGGCACCAGCTAAGGATCTGAAGTCGACACGAAAAAGGCCGTGAAAGGATAGATCCCAAAACGACTTGCTTTACGTTCCAATCAGCTGCTGCGAGTATGCCTTTTTGACAGAACCCGATTTTTCCTTTCAGGGGCCCTGCTTTCTCATGTTGGTTCCCTTGAGCATGCCCACAACTATCCAGCAATGCGCTGCAACAATGAAGGAGGCCTGAGCGAAGTCCAACAAAGACTAAAACTTAAGCCGTCTGAGGAGACACCAATCGCACAAACTCTGATTTGTGCTTGTCTGTTCAGCAGTTCTCGGAGCGCGTTGCCTGTGGCAACCCGGGGGTAGGACCACGGGACATGTCAAACAAGCTTACTGAAACGAATCGGCCGCTGAGCCAATTGTCCAACCACCACGTTCGCCCCATATGCCCACACCCCACGCACACATATGCTCTCTTCCTGAGTGGACTGGCCAAAAACAAAAGCAAACTTTCAGAAGGGTCCCGATTTGTTTTGGGATTTGTCCCGTTTTGTTTTGGGACTTGTTCCTTCATTTTCTGTCTTGAAACTGGCACGTGCGATCTCCCTTGGTTCTGCTGTGGTTTGACTCGTTTTGCACCAGCGCTGGCAACATCCCCGGCATCGCTTTACTCGGCAGTATCCTTTTCAACATTCGCAGCATCACAAGTTAGATTTGTTAGACTAGGTTTAGGGTGGGTTTAGGTTGGTTAGGGTTGGTTCAGGGTGGGTTCCAGGCTTGTTTAGGGCATGTTTGGGGGTGGCTGCGCTTTAGGTACTGGGATGGTTAGTGCTGGTTTATGGTGGGCTTCTTGGGGTTGGTTCAGGGGTTTAGGGCTGGTTTAGGGTGAGTTTAGAGTTGGTTTAGGCTGTGGTTGTGTTTAGGTGGGATGGTTTAGTGTTGGTTTGGTTTGTTTGGGGGGTAGGGAGCGGTTGGTGTCGGGTTTGCTTTGGGTTTGTTAAGGGTGGGTTTGGAGCGGGTTTAGTTACTTTGGGTTTAGTGCTGGTGTACGGGGGGTTAGGGATTGGTTTTGGGGTTGCTTTAGGGTGCTATAAGTTTTGTCTGGGGGGTGGTTTAAGGTGGGCTTAATAGCAATGGCTTTGTGCTGGTTTAGTGCGGATCGCATAATACAAACCCACTCTAAACCAGCATCAATACGGTGTATCACAAACTTAGTGCGGACTTCGGGTTGGTTGGGGTGGGGTTGGAGTGGGTGTCGGGATTGGCTTAGGGTGGTTGGGGTTTAGGGTTGGCTTAGGGTAGGTTTAGAGTTGGTTGAGGGATAGTCTATTGCTGGTTTAGAGCGGGTTTGTTTAGGGGTTTCTTTGGGGAGTCTTGCTGGTTTAAGGTTACTTTAGGGTTACTTTAGGGTTTCTTTAGGGCGGGCAAAGGTTTGGTTGAAAGGTTGCTCTAGTTTTAGTGGTGGTTTAGGGGTGGTTTTAGTAGTGCTTTAGGGTTGGTGTAGGGTGGTGTTGGGCCAAAACGTGAGTTTAGGGTGGGCGTTGGATTCATTGGGGTCCGTTGCCTACAAAGAAGCGGGGGGGGGGGGGGTTGGGGCGGGGGGGCGCAGCCCCCCCCATCTACAGACACACTTGGGAGGTAAGAAGCCACCAGCAAAAAATCCAAAAAGCCAAAAGCCAGTGATGCTGGGGTGTTACTGGTGATGCTGAGGATGCGGAAAGTTAAAGCCAAAAAGCCAAAAGCCGAAAAAACCAAAAAGTCAAAAAGCCAAAAAAGACGTAAAGCCAAAAAGCCAAGACACCCAAAAGCCGCAAGCCACAGCCAAACAGCCCAGACTCCAAGAAGGCACAAGCCAAAAAGCCAAGAAGCTAAGAAGCCAGATAAGGCAAAAACAAGGAAAACATCCTAAAGACAAACGGGAGCAAATCCCAACAAAATAGCCCTCCAAAACAAAAGCAGGTTGTTTTTTGTTTGCTACTAGGGAGTTAAAGCCCCTGAACTCTGGGAGTGGACCTAAATAGAACGACATATATATATATAATATTATATATATATATATTATACATACACCATCACCCCTGCGGCTTTAAACATCGCCTATTCAGCTGCAGGTGGCTTGGACTGTTCCCTTCGAACATTGTGGCCCAAACCGTTGAATTGAGTCCCTTGGTGTGACAAGGGTTTGTCTTGAATAGGGGAACATGTTTCTTTTAGTTTGGTTTCCCTCAAGGGATCAGAAAAAAAAAAAAAATGTACGGAGCCCCGGCCACCCTGACGGATTTAGAAACCAGTTTCCTATGGATCACACCTTTGCGTCGATTGCGTGGGGTGGTTGACGGCATGGGTGGATTCCCCATTGCGAGTGGAACCAGGTGCGCCCACGGAAGCACAGGAAAGTCTTTACTCGCCTATCAATATGAGTTGGTATGGACACAATTTACCTGGGAATTGATGTTTGCCTACTTTGGAAGGGTGCTCCACAGTGAAAAGAAACACATAGCCATACTGGTGTTTCTTAAAAAGCCGGTAGGGGTTGCGTTGGATGGTTGGAAACGAAAAGGACACCATCACCTGAGGAATTGGTCCCTAATTTAATTTTGGGAAGCCCCCGCATATTCAGGCCACCTGTACTGCCGGGCAATACCGGAAGCATCGTGACCGTGTGGCGACACACGGCTTTCCGTGGAAAAACCCAAGGCCCGCGCCAGGCCGGGAAGTCAATGTGAACCTTCCCGGGATTGGTCCGGGTCCCAATTTCAACACTTTCATCCCCGAGCAACTTGCAGGCTCGCATCCAATCCCCACCCCCGGTCGCACAACCAAAATCGAAACCCGCAGGTTCCAGCAAGGGGTGGTCCGGCCTCCTCCACTTGGGAACTACCTTTCAGTCCCATGGAAACTGGTTCTAGGGGGTACCTCGACAAGCTCAAGATTCTGCACGAGTATGGCAAGAACCACACGCCACCGGAATCTAGGGTATCCCTTGTTCCCTTGCAATACCGCAGCTCATATGTTGAGGGGCCAAATGCAATTGGGATGCGCAACATAGCCCCACTTGAGCAACCAAACCCTGGCATTCAAGGCTCATGGCTCCACCCAAGGTTGCCACAAATAACCTCCACTAAGATATCCCTGGGTGAGATCTTCCGATCACGGGTCAACTGGTGTTCTAGTTATTCTTCCTCTTCTGGGCACCGTTTCCGTCTCCTACTAACCTTCGTCTACCCACATTTCGATGGTGGCTCACTTCATCATGCAATGCTTCCTAGCAATGGGGGACCCTGGTTTCCAAACCACAAAGCTGTTCTTGCCAGTTAACCTTTTGCTTCATGGGTCCACAAAACAGGTTGTGGTTGGAAAACAGCAGAGCTTTTCTCAGTGGAAGGTTAAATTGCATATTGCCCTTTGGCTAGCGCTCAATCAGTGATCTATGCGTGTGCCGTCTCACCGTCTCACTCAGTTGCCGAGCTTCGTGACCTGACTCCTGGGCTTCTGGTGGGCCTGGGTTATGAAGCCAGCAACGGCCAAGGAAACAGGGAATCTGCCATCAAGCAGGTCAACCCTACTCAAAAGGAATCCAAAAGTATCCTGGCCTGGCCAGACAATTCCGAACAAACACGTGTTGCTTTACAGCCCGCCCAGGAGACAGTGGCTGTCAGTTCTAAATCTTTGTCATCAACCAAACTTTCCTGAAGCTAACCCACTCCCAGTTCAAACCAGCCCGAAGCCCTTGCGGCAAGCTGTTTAAGATATCGGATCCGGAGGCACGTGGAATCGACCCTTGGACCCTGCGAGCGCTCAGGAGAAGCAACTGCCGGCCGAAAGACACATAGCCAGCTTCGTTGGGGCTCAAAATGAACCCGGAATTCAAAGTTGCAATCTGCCAGCCAGAGCTGAAAATTGCCTCTTGGGAGTCGAGATCTGCGGCCAGCAAAAAAAAGAAGCGTGAAACCCGGCCGCGTTCACCAGACGAATCTTGAACCCGATGTCATGCGAAAAAGGGGCAGGGCACTCCTTTCTTGCAACTCCCCCAAACGTGACCCGGATCCCGGATTTCAGACTGCGAGGGCACCAAGCTTCAATAAACCGCGCTTGCATGTCAGCCTGTAAGCCCTGGTCAAAACTTGATTGTCTCCCCCCCCCGCACCCACGTTGACACAACAGCATAGTATGTTAAACGTTTCTCGGGCCATTTCAGGAAACCCGCAGGTCCATTGCCATTGAAGCTCCATTGGTTTAACCCCCAGAGGGTTTGAACCCGGAACGAAGCTGCGAACGTGCCCCAGAGGCTTGGAGGGTATGGCGTCTGTTGGTTTCCAGGCTGGGTACGTCGGTGCACGACCTGTGCCAAACTGTTCAGCATATACGGCATTAAGATACGGGGATCTAGGAGGCCGCGTCATACCCACGCCTGGGACACCCCCCTTTCATGCACTGCTTCATGGTAAAAATCTCAGGAATATCAGCATGGCAGGAAAACATCGTCTGCGCCGCTTGCGCAGTGACGCTGGAATATCAATAGTAACTCTTTTCGAGGTTGCCCATTTTGAGTGGGGAACCCACCAAACAAGAAGGGAAAAAGGGTGCCACTGAACGACTGGGAATGAATGTACCAACTCAATCGGAGCTGTTTTGGAGAACCAAGCGCAATATAAGCAGGACACATGTCGCTGTACTAGCGTCGTCGCCCGAGACATTCAATTTCACCTGCACCCGGAAGGTCCTGCGAAATGTTCCAGGCCATAACCTCATTGCTACCTCAGCTCCCGCCGTAATTCGCGTAATTAGGGTGCAGGTGCTTTTCGTCATAAATGATCACTGTCAAGACGTGACTTGCGCGAGGTCTCACGCAAGCCATGTGGCAGGCAGTGTCACATCTTCAAATTCGGCGAAAACAGCGATCAGCCGCAAAAACATGCACTATGCGAGGGCAACTATGCCAATTCCCTGTGCCAAACGATTGACGCCTGCATGCGTCCCCCCCGCCTACGAAAAACCCGCCCACAAACAAATAGAGACAAACACAGGGCAACACACACATGGGCACACATGGGCGCCAACGAAATTCCCAGCCAAAAAACACGCAGGCACGCAGGCACGCAAACGCACACGCACACGCAAACGCAAACGCACACGCACACCCCACACCCACACGCACACGCACCCCCACACCCACACACACACACACCCACCCACCCACCCACCCACCCACCCCCACACACACACACACACACACACAAACAAACACACACACACAAACACACAAACACACAAACACACAAACACACAAACACACAAACACACAAACACACAAACACACACAAACACACAAACACACAAACACACAAACACACAAACACACAACACACACACACACAACACACAAACACACAAACACACAAACACACAAACACACAAACACACAAACACACAAACACACACACACACACAAACACACAAACACACAAACACACACACACACACAAACACACACACACACACACAACACACAAACACACAAACACACAAACACACAAACACACACAAGCACACAAACACACAAGCACACAAGCACACAAGCACACAAGCACACAAGCACACAAGCACACAAGCACACAAGCACACAAGCACACAAACACACAAACACACAAACACACAAACACACAAACACACAAACACACAAACACACAAACACACAAACACACAAACACCCAAACACCCACACACCCACACACCCACACACCCACACACCCACACACCCACACACCCACACACCCACACACCCACACACCCACACACCCACACACCCACACACCCACACCCACCCACCCACCCCACCCCCACCCCCACACCCGCACCCGCACCCGCACCCGCACCCGCACCCGGCACCCGGCACCCGGCACCCGAAACCCGAAACCCGAAACCCGAAACCCGAAACCCGCACCCGCACCCGCACCCGCACCCGCACGCACCCACACGCGCACACACGCACACACCCACCCACACAACCACGCACGCTCGCACGCACGAACGAACGAACGCAACGAACGAACGAACGAACGCCCACACCCCGCGTGCAATTCCCCGCGGTCTTTACACACTATAAACGACGTGCGCCCCTATGCCTGGTTGGCTCCCAAAGGTTCTGGCCGTTTCTGGCATGCTATCAAAAGCTTCCACTACGTCGTTGGAGATGCATCCCCATGTTCCCTCCTTGGGTAATCGTTAGTCACAGGCTCCACATGTGGAGTGAGCCTACCGACAGCAACGCCTGTGCAACCGCTTGCCGACAGCATAGTCGACCGCCCTAGGAGCGCGCATCTGTCGAGTGCTTGAAATATTTTATTGAGAGCTTATTGCCAAGGCAGTCCAAAGGTGGAGCTTGTCTCACACACTTTGGAGTAGTGTGGGCGCTTGTCAGCCCGCTTGGCCGAATCGAATGCCTTGCTGACCAAAGACCACAAAAGTCCGGAAACTCAGCAACTGAGAACCTGCTTGACACTTTCGCACCTGTGTCGGAACTTTCACCGCGCAAGGTTCGAGTCGGCCCGAAAAAACACGGCTTCGTGTTCAACACTCCGACGATTTTGATTGAAACTGGAAGAGCGCGTTCGAATTCGGAGGGTTCGCTTCTCACTTGTAGAGCGAGAGAGCTTACCCAGCTTGGAGCTGCCCAGACAGGCAAGAACAGAATACCCCTACTGTTACATGCTGCATTTGCCCACCAAGCTCATACATTTTCCATTTACCCACCAAGCTCATACATGTTCCATTTACCCACCAAGGGATTTTGCGGGGAATGATTGATGAGGGACCGTCGTAATAATTGGGGGGTAGACATTTGGCCCTCACGTGTTCGTGGGAAACACTCGGATGTTTCATTTGACCCAGCCAGCAATCCGAACCATCAGTTCAGGGGTCATCTCAACTGATGCATGAGACTCATGAGATCCAACTTGAATAATTAGTGTTTGTGACCGCATCAATGCACATTCCAGGATTGCGATAGCAACTCAGCAAGCAGCATGATTCATAATTGACTCTGAGCCAGAGTCCCCGAGTGAACGACTCTCATCCAAAAAGCTGGAACAACAAAACAACATGTTACCTGAATCCTCACAATATGAGACAATATGTCCACAAGAAACCGACACGAGTAGGGCCATCAACCAGAGGTACCAACCAGTATACTCCGTTGTCATATGAAGTCCACTCGCACCTCTTTTGGATCAGAGTCCAAAGCCATTCCTGCGTAGCTTCATGGATATGATGGTTCATTGAGATGTGTTTGGACATGGCAGGGATATGCTCACCAGCAAGTTAGGTCCTTTTCCTTGACCTGCATAGCCAAATCACTATTTTTGCATGTCCATTCGTGCTTGCACCTCCGAGGGGGGAGCCGGCCCCACCATCCGCGCTATGTGGAGACAGGTTCCACTGGCAGAATCAGTCAGTGGAACCTTGTCCTCTGAGGATGGGGCCAGCCGGCAGCCGTGCTAGCGGGATTCGAGTTCAACTGGGAGAACCATCAGTGGAACCTGCAGCGCAGGAAGAAAAATATATAAACACCCGGCGAATGACGAAAAGGCGAATGGAACACTGGGCCATCATCAAAAGTGGCATGAGATTCCAATCAAAAGGCAATCACATTCACCAGACGGACATGTTCACTTTTTGCCAGCGCATGCTTTTCCGCGTCGGTTCAGTGAAATACCGACAGAGGCATTGTTTGGGTTGATTGCCACCGGAAGAAAAGGACTTGGCGAGTTGTAGAATCACTTTTGCCCAACTTGCTGAAGAAACTCCAACTTGGGGACACACTGAACCGGCAGCCGTCCGTCAATGTAAAGGCTTGTGCCAAGTTAGCTTCCCCAGTTGCTGCCAAAACAAAACGGAAGCAGGATTCCCTGAATCTCCAAAACATGAGCATACCTACCTCAGGTAAAAGGGGTTGACCATGACACCTTGGCCAAGCCGGGGTCACAAACGACGCAGCGACCCACATCGCCCAGGCACATAATAACTGTCCATCGCCATCAGGCCGTCAAGTCATGACCTGCCAAGCCCGGCATCGAGCCCAAGCGAGCCCTCCATGTGTGGTCCCCCTTTCAAGACCAACCCTCCCACCCTTCAACCCCTTGCTAAACCCGAAGCCCACCCTAAATCCACCCCAAACCCAAACCAGCCTGAACCAACCTTAAACTTAAACGCTCCGCTCCCTGAACCAACGCGAGTCAGTTTAGATCCACACTGAAGCAGGATAGATTATTGTGTTCCATACTGAAGCAATGTACAAATCTTCCAGCACTACCTCTCGATTTGGGCCAATTGCACAAGCCACACCCGAACCGTGACAGTCCAACTCGGGGAGCCAGACGTCCTCCGTGCCTGGAAAAGAGGACCCCAAGAAGTCCACCAAGGAGTAAGTCACCTCCCCGTAGCCTTTCAAATCGGAAGTGCCTCGGAGTCGAGGCAAAAACAAACAAAAAACACGAACAAACAGCAGACCTTCGAACAAAACAAACCACCAGAATGATCCGACTTGGAACTGATCCGGCTTTGCACAAAAACAACGCACGACTTAAAGTAAACATTTTGGATTGGCATCCTCTCTTGCCCCATATCTACCGGGACTTGTGCCCTCTACTTTTACTAGGGTTCCCGATATTTCATCCTTCAACGTCACCCCAAAAAAAGCTCGCTCAAAATTGACCCAGAATGATACTTGAAACCAAGCTGTAACCTAAACCCCACGTGGCGCAAAATAGGGCAACCCTGTGTTTAGCAGTTCCTCTGCCCAGGCCAATCCCCAACAACAACCCCCGCAACCCAAACCCAGAACGCTAGCCCGGCACCCCAAACTTCTCCTTCTGCCTGCCCCAAATCTTTCTGTCGAAGAAGCTGCAAAAATAAAAAGGCGACCTACTGGATGCCGGGGCATGGTGAAGAAGAATCAGCAAGCACTTGCTTGCGTGGTGGTACCCGAATTTCGCGACCCTTCCGGAACCAAACGCAACGCATCGCTCAATGCGAGACCGGCGGCGTGGACTGCAACGCACCAGGCTGGGGTCTACCTGCAAGGAACGGGCCAGAAAGGCGCAAAAAAAAGGTGACGATCGATCGTTGTGCCCACATTTCCTTCACCCCCTTTTGGCCTGAACAGTTCACGCGTTTTTAAGGAAAAACAATAGAACAAAAACACGGGCTCCCCAAAACGGAATTGCTCCACACTTGCGAGAAACCTGGCGCATCGGGGCCTGCTGGCCCAGCTGAGAAGCAAAGCCGCTGCAGCATGCGATCTGCCCCCGTGGGCAATTGGACTCCAGGCGCTGGGACAAGTGGATGGTGGAACCAAAGACCTGAGCAAAAATGGCCTGCCAAAGAGTCATGGTCTGAGGGTTTTTGTATTACACCCTGGAATTACACCCTTTGGGAAATGGCCCAGAATGGTTCGAAATAACACGGTTTTATCCGGAAATGTGCCTAAATGGGGTCAACACCCATGGCATTCCCGGGGTGAAATACAAAAACCCTTAGACATGGGAACCCCGCCACAAATAAATTGATAAGGGGTGTCCCTGGGCTAAGCGGTTTAGTGGCGGTTTAATGGCTTTCATTTGCCGCGGCTCATGGTGTTCTCAAAAAACAAGCTTGTCCAACCTGAGCTTCACCCCGAAAGAAAATCAGTACTCCGAAGCCAATCGCCACGGAAAAAATGGCACTGTTGTTGGAACAAATGGCACTGTTGTTGGTTGATGTTGATGCAAGACATCAAACACCAAATGCAATAATAAACATGTAACGGAGCAAGCAAGCAAGCAAGCAAGCAAGCAAGCAAGCAAGCGAGCGAGCGAGCGAGCGAGCGAGCGAGCGAGCGAGCGAGCGAGCAGGCAAGCAGGCAGGCAGGCAGGCAGGCAGGCAGGCCAGACATACACACAAACAGGCAAGCAAACAAACAAATAATTGAATGAAAACAACAAGCAACCAAACAAAACACAGACACACATACACAAATATTCATGGGGTGTGCCATTTCTGCAGCCGAAGAGCTCGGAAGCTTCGACCGTCCACTACGCCAGCGGTTAGAGGCCCCAAGGCAATACCTTGGCCAAAACTCCCTAGACGTTGCCCAGCTACCCAGAAATACAAGGCGATCACCTTTGAGGCCACTAAGAGCGGGTTGCAAAGCGGAAAGCCCTGTTCAGGTTGGGTCCGGTCAGTTCGCGTTGGGGTGATGGTGGGATCGTTTACTGCCTTAAACCTCACAATTGTGTTTAGTCCGCGTTCTTCAGTGGAGGGCCAGGCCTTGGATGAAAACTCTTCGGGTCAAGCGGGAGTTGCTCCCAATTGTGGACTGCCCTTTGGACTTTGTTCAACCAAAAGGAAGCCCATTTTCAGGGCTACCTAAGTACCCGTTTAAGCTTCACCCCACCAACAGGTCACTTCAATGGACTCAAAACATGATGGGCGCTAACTATAGGGAACTTTGCGCAAAGCCTATTATCATCTATTATCTAAAATTGTTCAGGGGCTTGATAACCTTCCCAGTCCCTGCCACCACAAGAAACGGGGTCTCTTGACCACAGTTGACGACTTGCTGGTGACCCGCATGCAATACTTTGGGCAAGAACCGCCGCCCCGCGTTTAAGGCTGGTCATCTCTAAGAAAAGCACACGGCTTTCCGCACGCCGTGCGCCAACGTCAGCTGCAACTTCATTATTTATCTATCTCTCTCTCTCTCTCTCTCTCTCTCTTTTAACCTTGTTCTTGTTATGATTTGTTATTCTCTGTTTGTTATTTCTCTTTGTCTATAATTATGTTGTTGTGTTCCTTGCCTTCCTTCTTTCCTTCCTTGTTTCCTTCCTTCTTTCTATTCTGCGATGTTCTTTATTTGTCTTTCTTTCTTTCTTTCTTTCTTTCTTTCTTGGGTTACTTCCTTTCAGCCGATTTGCTGATCTATCCATCTCTCCATCTGCCCATTCACACCTTTTCAATTTTCTACCCAATCAATCGCTTCCATCAACCCGTGTATCGTATCCTTTTTGCGCCTATAGCCTATGTCTCTGTCCATGTTTGTGTCAACACACCTGCTTGTCTATCTGTTTGGTCGACGTTGCTGAATCCGCCGGTTCGGGGCCAAACTGGGGCTCAAATGAGGCATTGCACCCACAAAGCTCAGCAATTAGCGACAGAAGCTGTGGTGAGGCCGGGCAAGGGTCTTAACTTGCTTTGTTTTTGGGGGAAGGTGTTCTCAGCTGAGAGGGGTCGCTGAGAACGCCCCCCTGGAGCCGACCCCCCCAAAAAGAACAGCTGAATTAAGCCTAAGAGCTCGGAATGGCCGGAATTAGCGTAAATTGATTGAATCCTCTCCTTGGCCTGTGGGCGTGTTGGGGGGATGGTGACGTGTCGCTTGGCGATGCCTGCGGACATGACGCCTGGGGAGCCGGGGTTCACTTTTCGCACTCCTTTGCATCAAGTCACTCCAAGCAGACGCGTACGTGTCGTGCAGTTGCTCTCGGGGTGGGACCGGGTGTGTCTAAAACCTGCGCCAAACGACATGCTACCATACAGCGCCAAAACACAAACGAGACTACATCCAGGGACGCGAGGACATTTTACAACACTGCGCAAGGGCACAAACAAGACCCTTGAAACCATATCAGGCCCGAGCAACCGACACGCAAGTACATGTCATCACCGTAGGATCGAAGCATGTCGTCCACTGCTTTCTGCACCTTCGAGGCATCGAAGCTGCGGCGGGTTTGCAGGGAACAGGAATGAACTGTGAGAAAGGGCGCGGGGAACAATAGCGAGAAAAAGCAGGGAACCAACTGGAGTGGTCCGTTGATTTCCTTAGCTAGCATGCTGAAAGTCAAGAGTCGCAAGCCGCCAAGAAACATGAATACACATGAGTGAAAACCCTGGTAGAAAACACATGCCTTTCAAACAACGAGCCACATGCAAACGTGCTTGATCGTGGCTGGGCAGACACCGCCACAGGATCAGATGTGGAGGAATGCTTGGTCAATGTTGAACCCGACACCTGGGATTTAACCTGTTCATTGTTCATCATGTTTGTCAAGGGCAAAAATGCCTCGGATCCTACCAAACGTTGACCCAGGCAGGGTGCGCAGGCCAGCCGCACTGCTCAATTAATTCGGCTTGTCAACAGGTTGAGGTTTTGAAAAAGCAGCCTTTGATTGAAAAAAGGCCTCAGGATTGACACCTTTCAATTGGTTTACGGTCGACACTGTTGCCCAGCCAAACGGAAACTTAAGCAAAGTTAAAAAGCGAGCAGCACTGAACCCGCACCGCAAAAAGTCTAAACTTTTAGCGGAATGTGGGCAAACATTGTGCCAAACAGCTCCAGGTATGTAAATCTCCCGTTTTCTGGTAGTTTTGGGGTAGAGTTTCGGGTAGAGTTTCGGGTAGAGTAGATAACCTCTGCTCCCCAAGGCCCAGCCGGAAACAGGATGCAACGAAATCTGCTCCGCGGGGCCTTGCTCGCAACGTAGATGCCGATCGCGGCGGTGTGGCCGGGGAACCGGGCCATGAACTCCGCGTTGCAAAGCAGCAGCAGGCCTTGGCTGCGCGAAACCATGGGAGTTTCTGAGGTGGGAGTTGGGGATATCACCACCTCACTTCCTCAGTGGGGTGGCCAAAACAAGTTTGGACTTCTTTTATTTACCACCAAAATGGTCTTCCCAAACAGTTCAAGTCCAGGAACGCAGGAAGTGAGGCATATTCAAGCCTTGACCTCCCCATTCTCTTCACGGATCCTTCCGTCCTGAAAATGACCCAAAACCCGGGAACATTGGTGGCATCTGAAAAGGACGAGCAAAATGGGGAAGGAAGCATTTTCAGGTTTTCACGTGCCAAAAGGGTTCCTTCAAGGTTGTCACAACAGGCCTCCCTGCTGGTTAACATCAAAGGTTTTTAACAGTGTAAACAAGTTCATTCCGTGCTGGTGCTTGCTGTTTGCGCCTCAAAAAGCCAGGGTTGTCATCCAAAAGGGCCTTTGCACCAAATCGTGTTTGTAGGGTCATGGGAGCTGAATGACTACACTCCTTGCTCTCTGATCTCATCTCACTTAATTGCAATTGTTAGTACAGGCCCCAGAACTCCATTCCAACAACCTGGAGTCTCCATGACCCTTTAAAAAAGGGTCCATGACCCCATTATTTGGTGTAGTGACCCCATATTTTAAGGGGCAAGGAGACTCCAACTACTCAGTTACGCTTGTCGTGGTTTCTCTGGCGCACCCCTGAAAACTGATCCGACAATGGTTGGCTTGGATCCGGAGCGCGGGAAGCCCCGGAAGCCAGGGAAGCCAGGGAAGCCGAGGGGCTGTCACCAACAACCTCGTGAATATAAACATAGGGCAGCGCCTCCTGCTCCACGACAGAGCTGGCAGTTACATAGACCTCCGAAATCAGAGACGTCTAAGCGGCCTCAAACGGGGGTTCCACTCGCTTGCATGGTACCGCCACTTATATTTCATCGGAGTATACTCATTTTCCCTTGGAGGAAGCGGCTTGGGAGTGGAAATCATACATTGAATGGTGTGTGGCCATGTTCAAGGGTTACAGAGTTGCAACCGCCAGGGTCATACCTTCGGACCAACTCATCCAAAAGACCATCTTTTTCGGGGGACGAGCTGAGTGCACTCGGCAACCTTCGGCATCGAAGGAACTAAATCTACTCCCAAGGGCCACATCAAAAGAGCCCGCTTCCCAGATTTCAATGGGGCCAAACCCTCCTGCCTTTTGCGAGCATCCAAGGGACAATGGGAACCTATGTGGTTTCTTTTGGATCCCTGCGAAATGCCTTCAGCTGCAGGTTTCAAGGTGATCCCTGTAACCCCGAATAGCTCGCAAAGGAAACCTTGGCCCACACGTCTACTCCAAAAACGTGTCTGACTCTGTTTCAGATGAGCGCCCCAAACCCCATTGGCTATTTTAGTAGGTCCTACTTCCTGGTTTCATAAAGGTTGCAGTATGGCCCACAGGAAGCGTTGAAACAGCTATTAGGATTTTCTATCACCGTTGTTTTTTGTGTTTGATTTCAACAAAATAAAATGTAGAAAATAAGACATTAGCAGGATATGTTTTCCCCCGAGCACCTGTAAGTCAGTGTGTGTGTGTGTGTTTAATATAGCTCAAAATATCTAGTTGGATAGTGATTCAGTTTTCACGAGAAAACATCAACCCGCTGCTAAGTGGATCATGGGAATCAACGGACCAGCGTCCAACGCAAAGAAACTGAAACGGGCAAACTGCAACCGCCTTGATGACCTTGACTTTAAAACAGCCACGACGACAAACACATAAACTAGGGATACGAAAGAGGGACACAAAGTCGTGTTTCTTGGCTATGAACTTAGGCTCCAGCGAAGACGAAAGTAACACAAATGCGACAAGGTGCTATCTACATGTTTAGATCATGTGCTATCTACATGTTTTGGTATAGTGTACAAACAACACCACACAACTAAGACTGAGTGTCACTTTGCGTTATGCCTGTGAACGACTAGTTGCCCGATAAATAAAACTATAGCCACTGGTTCTGGTTTGTTCGTTGCACGCTTTACTACCATTTGCGAAAAAAGGGGCTTTGATGCTCAGACGAAGAAACATATGTTCTACTTCATATTTCGACCCAATGCAAAGCCACTAAGGAGACCCCAGTGCCACCCAGAAAGTCCCTCGTGGTTTGGACTGGTTTAACATCCAGCCAGCCATCCAAACCACCAATGAAGACCTGTCTCAAAGCGGACAAGTGCCTAGTAGAATTTGGGCTGTGGAGTGAGTACTTAAGTCAAGGGGAGCAATGGTTGTAATTTGGTTGTAATTTCAAGCTTCGCCCCTACGGAAACTTATATGTGAGAAGAAAATCAGTGAACCATTTACACCATGTGCTGCCATGGTTTGTGGCGGGGTATGTCGCACATTTGGAAAATCAAATGTCCACATCTCCTGGGCTGTGGGGCCGGGAACAAAAAGGAGATCAGGCGTCGTGACAAAGCATAAATTCAGTGTTCTGGCTTTGGAAGGCGCACGTTTTGGAGATGTCTAACTAAGAAGGAAACCAAAGCTTTTTGCTAAACAGCACGCTTTTGAGAGCTACCGGATGCGGACACAAACCCATATATATATATATACACATAATATAATGTTGTTGTTGCAGTTGTAGCTGTTGTTTTCTGAGGTGGTGATGTTGTTGCAGCTGCTGTTGTTGTTCAAGCAGAATGCCCTTGATGGTACTCGCTTGCAAGTAAATTTGGAACCCAAAAAATCCTGGTGTGCAAAGGAATCTCCCGCGAAGATATAAACATAGGCCCCTTTGTGGGGATCCTTCCGTAGGTACCCGATTTGTGGGTAGACCACACTTTTTGAGTCCATTTGCCCAAACAAGTCCAAATTGTTTGCTTGCCACTAACATTGTTGTCCAAGAAAGCACCGGAAGTCCAGGACCCCTGGACACGGTCGTGAAAAATAATCTTTGACGGGAGAGTGAGGAGGTCCTATGACGATTTTATCACTTCGGAGACTCCCTTGGTTTCTTGCAGAAACTGGCAAACTAGAAGGCTAGATTCCACAACCATGCTCATCAGAGCTCTGTGAAGGATATATCCAAACACCCCTGCTTTTTCAGGGCATCCTTTTGGGTGACTTTCTTACTTGCCCTGCGTCTCAAAATGTGAGTACCTAAATGACCAGTGCCCTTTTCCGCGTCCATTTAGAACAATCCCAAACACAACCCAAATCTCACTTCCTCAGTGGATCGGTCCAGGAACTACTTTGAACTTTGTGTTTATCGCTATGGGTCCAAAAAGTGACTCAGTCCAGAAGAACTCAGGGACTGAGTTACATGGGTTTGTCTGAAAATAGGCAGATCCCCCAAATAGTTGGTCTTCTTCCCCTCTAAAACCAAAAGAGGGTACCCCCAAAAAAGACACATACCATGTCCTTACAGACTTCCTGGTAGCTCCTTAGCTGTTTAAACACAAATCTGGACACCCCCAGCTCCGTCTTCCAACCAACAGCTAGCAATGTCTCTAACTCACTTCCTGAGTGGATTCGCCAAAAAACGTCCAAACTTTCTATTTGTTTACCACTGCAATGGTTCCCAAAAAGTGCAAAGTCCGAAACAGAGCTCGGGAAGTCTTGGTTGACGTTGGAAGGGGAGCAACAAATTACAAATTTTAGCAGTTCAGTGGGGATCTCCCACGAAACCACAACAAGCAAAAATGCAAAATGTTTCCCAACAACTTGGTTGCTGTTGCCCCCCCCGCAAAAAGCTTAACTTTTTGGGGGTTGTGGAAAACCCCTTGATTTCCACAAAAGTTAAAGTCTAAAGATCCAAGCCAATAGCAGTCAAAACAACAATGAAGTGAGGCGTTAACGTCCCTAAGGACTCCCGCGGAACTTCAAATCTGCGCCTTGTGCAGCAACTCGGCCATCTGCCGTGGTGACGCCTGCGCTGCGAAGCCTCGGCCCGGCGGAACGAGGAAACCGAGCGGGGTGGGGGGGTAGGGTAACCCGCTCTTGGTTGCTTTCTGCTAAGAGTGAATTACTTTGAGTGGTTTAATACGGAAAACCAATTAGTTAACAAAGAGTTGAATTCCTAACATCCCTTGGCAATATGCACCAAAGCCCTTGCTCCCATTTGCTTACCCCCCCTGGAAAAAAAATAAAATAATATCTCCAGTAGTGATAGATTCCCTTTAAAACCAAAAAGGGGAAATACAACATATTCTTGAGCAAATGAAAAAAAGGTCCCAAAAAGCTGCCCCCAACCAGCCCCAGATTGGGGTCAAAAAGGCACACTCGAACAAGTGTATGGGCAACCATCAGCTAGCACATCTGCTTTACTTGCCCCTTCCTCCAGCTCCGATCTAACTTTCTAGCTCTCTGTGCTCCGGGATACGTCTTTTGCTCCGGAACTATGTTTTGTTTGATGTGGGTGCTTTGAAACTCCCATAGGCAATGTCCAGCTCCAGGCAGCTCGTGGTATTCGCAAGGTCCGTCATGATGCACGCGGCCTCCTGTACATGCAATGTTGGTCCTCCTTTTGGTCCTTTTAAACATCACCAACCGACTTCTGTTTTTGTGGAGGTCTGAATTTTAGGAGCCGACCTTTTTGGCGTGGTCCACACCTGTTCCGTATCTCATCGCGACGCAATATGCATAGGCAAACCTTGTTTATTGGTTCCAGCCACCGATGAATAATTAAATAAAATACCGAAACTCAACGAATTGAACGTTTGGTTCTGGACAAGTCAGATCTATGCATGCACACGTGAAGCAAGGAGTGGACAATGCTGCTGGCAATGTGGACGCATGGGCGCAAATGCAGAAATCAAATAGCAAGCATACACACGAATACACATCTGAGAATTGACTTGCTCACCAGAAATGCCTAATTGCTCCGGTCGTCGATCACATTCCAGCCCCAAGCAGGAGGCACTGGATTGGTTCACCAGGGTCGTCGCATGTCAATAGGTCGAATTGGAGGCAAGCTTCTGGGACCTCCGAGGCAAAAGCGCGACTTTTGGCCGGGAGCCCTGGTAAGGGAGCTCTGTTCAGTGACCCGGACGGAGAATGGAAGGGACCCGGAGAATGGAAGGGGGACCCGGAGCCACTGCAACAGCCAGTTGCAAGTTCGGTCCTGCGTGTCTGTCAAGTGGAGGCCTGGCTTTTGCCGGATGAATTGCTCGAAGCCCCTGGGGATGTGCAGTTTGCCCTGCACTTGCTCCACCACCTCAATCCGAACATCCGCTTGGGCGATAGCATTTGCTCACGTCAGAGGTTGCCCAAGGACCGAGTTTCTTGACGCACAGCTACAAGTGCTTGGCGATGATGCCACGTTTGCATGCTGCTGAATGATTTCGATTCATCCCACTACGAGGTTGTGTCACATGTGTGCCTGCTGCTACTGTGAGAGGGAGAGAAACCGCCATGGACATTTAAGTTAAATCGGTCTCCCAATAGTTATAAATAAAAGGTGCCCCTGAAAATCAGAAATGCCGAGTGGGAAATATATTGTCGTCTTAGAGGGCAGCCCCAGATGAAATCAACAGCAGAAAACAGTTGCCGCACACTTCTCGGATTTGTGCAAGCTGAGCATTGGCTTTTTGGGTTTCGTAGATAACGGATCTAGAGCCCCCCCTCTGGCTGGACTTGGGATCGGAGAGGCAAAATTGCTGGTCTATGGGTTTAGGATTATATATTGCGGACTTTGGACCTTCTGGGAAGCAACATTCACTTTCGTGGGCGAAGATGCTTAGCTGCTTGAGATGTTGCCAACCGTTGACCCAGAATGATGCCCATTCAGCTTGCCCCGAACGGGTGGTTTGGATTAGATTGGCTGTGGGGTGATTTTCCAGTTGATTTTCCATCTACCCTCCAGAAGAGCCGGTGCAAATAAAGGTCCAAACCAATCCCAACCACCAGTTAATGTTGACCCCAGATTAATTAACCCCAGTTTGTTATTCTGGAGGTGTTCCCCTCCAAAAGTGATGAATCCCCACTAAACCCAGGGACACCCCCCTATTCATAAACAAGGGCGTTATGAATCCGGGGTCAACCTAGATTTAGGCGTAAATCCAATGTCCAAGGCGCAACGGTGAAGGACCCACCATGCGGTCGGACCTGGCGCTCAAAGGAAACCCGAAAGGAGAAAACAACATGGAAAAAACACACACACACACTGAAGATGCAAAGGACACCTGAATGTAATTTGTGTATTTGGTTGAAAGGACCAAACAACGTGGCAAGCAGACAAGGTGGATGAGAGAAACGAGGGTTTCTCTTGCGACCCAAGTAGCTGTCAACCTGCATGCTCGAGCCACACCCGTCGCATCCAGCAAGACAGCACCTTGGCTTCGGTCGTAATTGTCACATTTTGCCTGCCATTTCAGAAGGCCGAAACTGCGCTTTGGCGACCCTCAAAAAGGCACCAAAGGGTCAAACGGGGGGGAGGGGTGGTGGGAATGGAAAGGAGCTGTACAAAATAAGGGGGCTTGGGGAACGCTATGTTGCTCAATGGGCACGATGCAAACGCGTGGCAACAAGGCGACTGCTGACTGCTGACGCTGCTCATTCTGCTGGCGCTGAGCATGGTCACCTCAAGCCTGCAATATGCACGGTGGACACGGCCAATTAGCTCTTGCCAAGGGTGCTGAAGTGCTGGGCCAACCTAAGGCACTGCAGTGCCAAAGCCAGAATGGTGCAACAAGGATTGCCGAGCGGCCCATTGCACACAACAAATAATCAGCTTGGTTTTGAAACCGTCTGAAACCTCGAATCCAAAGGGGCCTGGCTTGCCTAAATGGCGATTGCAAACAAACTCCCAAAACATCAACATCTTATTAGAGGTCGGTTTGGGCGAGTTGGACCACCTCCTTTTGGTCTTCCATGGGCCCATGGGTCCGGGTGCTTCAGCCGATCTTGCCATGGCTTGAGCCATCTCCTTTTCGTTTCCCAAAGCTACAAAACAAAGTGGCAGGGGTGGGTGTGGACCATGACTACTTTGTCAGAGGGTTGTGGAATGACGCGGGGTTCATTCCCAACTTGATACCAGGGCACCTCCGCTTTTGAGTGCAAATTCATTGAGAAGGCCTTAGGCACGTCCCACCCTGACTTTGTCACACGACTCACAGAAGAAAGTGGCCGAAAACCGCATGCTCCACATGAAATTTATCCGGGTAGTAACTTTTGCCACCTGCCCCTCCACCCCCCGACCCACCAGAAAGCTTCTCAGACCTTCTCCCAGACCTGGCCCTTTTCGCAGCTGGGCGGCGACTGCGCTTCGACTCACACTCATTGGAGCGCTTCAGCTCACGGATGATGGCGGCCTCCCCGGTTTTCGGAACCCCCCAAAAAAGAGACCAGCCCCTTCCAGGACCCCCCTAATGGCTGGCAAATATGGGAGGTCATTCCACAGACCATTTGCCAGCCCTTGGGGGTCCTGGTTTTGAGTACGTGTTTTGACTTTTCACGGGGCTTTCGTCTTGTTCAAACGGTTCACCCAAATCCCACATGGTTCATGGTCAAATTATGGACATCTTCTTGACCTTTTTGGGAAGTGCCTTTTTTTGGGGGGGTAACCAAAAGCAACGGGAGTCCATATATGCCCCCATTGTCCCCTGTAAAGAGGTTAGGAGATGGTGCTCAAAGCGCCTTTTTCTTGTTTGATGGCACCTTTCTGGGTTGGTCTAGAGGGAAACCAAAAAGAAAGCTTCATTTTTGTTGGGTCCCCCAATTTTGACACCTGCCCATGTATTTCAACCCATTGTTCAATCATCACGCACTCGCGTTCTCAAATGGTACCAGGCTTTTGTTTAGGGTGGTTTTATCATCACTTTCTGGCATTTAATTGAGCTTCCTTTGACGTGCTGAGATTTCAAGGCAAAGGGATTCTAAATTGTTTGCCATTGAATGCAAGTAAGGGGAATCTAAGAGGATGTAGATTGGATGTTGCCTCTCTATCAACTTTTCGCTTAAAGGTTTAGAGAGTGACTACTTGGAATGTGTCCCTTCAAATCTACAACAGGAATGCGAACACTGGTGCTTGTTCCATGCACATGATGCTAAACTTTGGGGTCTTACAATGATTTGCTTCACAGGATGAATCTGAATGTACAGTATGAATTATGAATGTGAATGGTATGAAGCCTAGTTTATTGCTTAATTCAGCGTTAATTGGCTTCCTCACAGAAAGTCAACCCCCAGAGAGGCGTCCAACATCACCACGGGTTCATATATGGACTTAGCTATCGCCATATGGGGTCTCAAAGTACGATAACACCCCAGCACGTGTGCTGCACACCACACAAAGGCAAAGTGTCTTCCCCATGGCATGCCCGAAATTCCCAAAATAACCTGGAGGCCCAATTGATACAGGAAGTTGTGCTCGAATGTTTTTGGCAAAACAAGTGCTCGAAACGTTTCTGGGAGCCAGCGACTTGGCGCTAGTGTAGTGACCAGAATTTGGGCAGTTGTTAAAATTGCGCTCGGTTGCGCGGATTTGCGCCCGAGTTGCGCAAAATTGCGCCCGAAGTTGCGTCGAATTGCGCTCGAAACGCGGTGCGCATTTCGAGCCAAGCCGTCTTCAAAACTGTTCGTTTCCAATCGGGCAGAAAAAAGCGTTCGAACTCCGAAATCCAGGAAGAGAGTCTCCTGGATTAACCCACTTCCATGGGCTCAAAAGACGCCCGGAGCTTATTCAGCGCTCACCGTGGGTGGGAAAGTCGGACAACTCCCCCCGTCCCTGGCTTTTGCCCTTTTTGTGGCGGGGTTCTCGGCTGAGGTGTTTGTCTTTGGCATAGCCCTGGCATTAGCCTCCCTGGCACAGCCTGGCGTGCACGAAAGGAGACACTAACGGACAAAGGCTTGGGGTGTGGGGTAGTGGGTTAGCCCTTTGCCAGGGCTATGCCAAAAAACAACCACCCTTTCCCCGGGCTCTCTCTAAAACAAAACTGCCCCCCAAAAAAAGAAGAAGAAACGACATAAGTGAGTTCTAGCAGCGGCTGCTACTCAGTAAACGTTGATGGGGTTTTGTCTAGACAACGTGTTAGATGCCACAACAGCGGATTCCACCAATTCTTGCGGTCTTTTTGGGGGATCCACACGTGGATACGACCTCACAAACAAAACCTTGTAACCTGGAGCTCGTGTGTAGTTCTATACTTGGGTCCAAAGAATGTTGCCAGTGCTGAAATTATTGTAAAGCAATGGGACATACACCCCAACTACATCCAAACTCTCTCATCCGTTCGTGCAAGCAGGCACGTGTTGAGATGATGTGCGTTGCTCGGGCCTTTCCTTCGAACAAGCACCAAGCGGCTGTATTTCGACGAGGAAAATCCGAAAACAATACAACAGGTTGTTTCCTGGTGTTTCGAGGCAAAGCAAAAGAAACCTGCAACGTTTATCTTCCCGCCCCTTTGCATCAACTACCCGGAGTCTCCATGGCCCTGGAAAACTGGGGTAATTGCCCAAAATAGGGGTCATGGAACCATTCTTAAAGGGTTGTGGAGACTCCAGGTACCCTCGCTAAGATTGAGCAGAACCGAAGAAGCACCTCAAAACCTGCGATGCACAATCTAGCTGAGTAGCCTGAGCGTTCGCCACTACTGTGGGCATCAGGTTGAAAAGGCTCCTGAGCACACACGAACGGTATCTAAGACCAGTAGCCATGGAACAAGGGGCACAAATTACTCACAATCTGGAACTGAGGAAGAGTGAAGGACCTGAATGAAACTGTTTTTTCTCGGTTTTCCCGCTCGTTTTCGCCCAGGTCTCATGCCAATCATGTCGTCATACTGGAGCCAGCTGCACAGCCTGTCAGGCCATTGCGTCCCACAGAGGGGACATTTTGTTGCCCAAGCATTCCTTGCCTTAACGGGAAGGGGGGTTGCGCGGTCCCCCATATGCAAAGGGTGGGCCTGGTGGGTCTGCCCAAGTCCTTCTTCCGAGACTCTTCCGAGTCTTCAAAGGGCGCATGGAACTGTGCATGAATTTTGCTGGTGCGATCCTGACAGGTCGGTGTGTTTTCGGAAGTGCCCACGTCTGCACGAATTCACTAAAAAGAGGAGGGCCGCAAATCAAAGAAGTGGGAACTTCACAACCCGTGCTTGGGATTCGGTTCTTGGGGTTTGCTCTTTTGTGCGCGCAAACCTCTGCGCCTCAGTCTTCCGATCAAAACAAACCTGCTTCGTCGCTGGCTCCTTTGTGATTTTGTTGTTCCACAAGCTGCGCTACCAGCACAAACAAACATACTCCGAACACCCTTCCGCGAGCTCCCGCGGTGCGCATCTCCAAATAATATTAAATAATAACTTCCGTACCTTTACATACGTAATGGAGGAGCAAAAAAACACTACTCAATTGGCTTTTTGACCTGGTCTTCCTGTTTTGGGATTCCGTTCTATTTTGGCCCACAAATGGGTGGTGTGTTTTTTGAGGGTACCCTTGTTGGGCTTGGTTGAAAAGGAAGTCAAAAGGAAAACCACCTCTATTCATGGTTCTTAACAAACCTAAACAGAAAACACGATTGGCCAACTTGACAACTTGCATTGGGAATCGAACTTGCCGAGGGGCTCTGGCTGCACCTCGGCGATGCGCATCTCTGAGTCGCAGCAGATCTGAAGGCAGGCCCGCTTTGACTTGCCCGCAGGCGTGACCTGAGAAACATCCCAACGACCCTGGTTGAGTAACAGGGGTGTCCCGTTTGTAGGAGGGGAACCATCCCTTGTTGGGGAAACACAAAGCAGAAGCTCCCGAAAAAGAACTGGATCTCAAGGACCTTTATGGGCGAGCTCCGAATCTGCGAGCTCGCCGTAAATTCACAGCATGAGTTTGCCTTCTGGAAAAACGTCTGGAAAAGAAAGGGTGCGATGATGCTTCCACCTGTACAACGATTAGATCCTCCCCGGTGCCATGACAGTAGGTAGCCAGGGACAACTTGATTAAATTCGCAAGACGATTAGCCCGGGTCCACCCGTCCCCTGATTGGGGGGGAGTTTTCCCCGGAGCCATAGGTAGGAGGGCCCACTTTCTGGGCGCCACCCTTCGATTAGGGAATTGGTGCTACTATAAGTAACCCGGGCACACCATGTTAGACCTGGAGGGCTGCCTATCGGGTCCATATTCTGAAACTTACCGTCTAAAAGATCCCTAACTTTGAGAACCCCTCTGGTTCGCTTCAAGGGGCCATGGCCATAGTCAGCTCCCAAACCCGCGCCAATCCAAGCAGCTTCCGCCAGAGGAATGTTGAGAAAGCTCAACAGCCAGTTGAAGAGTCCCTGCAAAAAGCTCCGACCCGCAGATTCCATCCGGGGGTCCCTGGATAAAAAAAATAATACAAATACAACTGACACCATCCCCAACTTGAATGTCGACTAAACTGGAATGGCATTTGTGCACCCAACTGCAAAGAATATGGGGGCATGCCCCCATGCATTAATTTCCCCACGCCGCACATCTAGGGGTTGATTTCCGAATTTCCGAAGGCCCCTTTTTGTTTGTCCCAATTCCTGAGCGGATTGGCCAGAACATGTCAGAAGTTGTTTCCAACAAGGTCCAGGAACTCAGGCGAGGGGCATCCCCACACATGGATTGGAGGAGGGACTCTTGTCTAACATCAGATTTCTATAGATTTCTTCTACAGGCTCATCCCCAGTCGAGCAAGTATCCCGAAGGGTAGAGGGTTGATCGCATGATTGGTGGGAAGCGACATACCCAGCATAATTAGTTCTGGGTTGAAGATTTTGGGGCGTTTCTCCAGAATTATCTATAGCTTCCTTTGCTTACTACTGAAAGGCCGTCCAAAAAGGGGGTCTTGTGAGGCCACTCACATCTACTCGAGAGACAGCCGGCGCCGTTCCGCCCTGCCTCCATGGACCGCTTCTTCATACTCGCCATGTTCCGCGGTTTGGGCCAAACTCCAAACCGCTAACTGCCGGGGAGGGGGGGCCGGGAAGGAGCGAGGGAAGAGGGGGGAGTGGGGGAAGAGAAGGGGAGGGGAGGGGGGGAGGGAAGGAGCGGGGGAAGAGGGGGGAGTGGGGGAAGAGAAGGGGAGGGGGGGCGACCTTCCAATTCCGCCACTTCCCCTCAACTTCTTTCCAGCTCCGAGTCCTCGCAGTTACACCAAATCCCTTCAACTTCACCTAGTCTTGCTTCGTCGGCAATGGCGCAATTCCACAATCTCATTTCCTGAGCGGGGCAGCAAAAGGAAACAACACGTTTGTTTACCACTGAGTGTGCTTTACCAAACAAATGGAAGTCCAGGAACTACACTTTCCTGAAGTGTCTATGGTGCCACTTTGAAACCACACTGAAGAGGGTACTTTTCAAAACCACACACACACAAATGGCTTGCAAGCTCAGGGGCCTCTAGCAGAATTCGACACAAGGCCTAAACAGTCAATCAATGAGCGCCAACACATTCCACATTAATCGGCAGCCCTGGGAGGTCAGAGCAAACACATGGAGGTTTATGTCCTCCTGTTTTAGAGGGTGCCCCTATGAAAGTTCAAAGCCACAGCCACATGCGTGACTGTAAATACCTACGTTTTTGGTGCATTCGCTCATCTGCATTTCAATAGTTCGGAAACCTTAAGGCAAGAATTGGGTCCCCGGTTGAGCTGAAGGACAAACGTGCGTTCGACCGATTCCCGAATCGGTGAGCGCGGAACAATGGCAGTGAGAGTTCATAGCAGCTGAACAAACCAGGTGGGCGCGTGCCAGCTTTCAGCGGCTCCTCAACCCGCGCACCTGCCGCGTCCCGTCCATCCAAATTAGGCTGTGAAGGGAACAGGCCAAGGAAAAACTGAATGGGATCAACAAAAGAAGGTCGAGAGGTCGAGAGGTGGGTGTGCTGGGGCAGGGAGCCCTGTTTTTGGAGGCTCAATGCAATGTCTGCTGTCCAAGGTGTGAAGGTGTGAGTCATCCATCTGCCGGCAAGCAACTAAGCAAACAAACTGCAGCATGAGCTCTTCTCAGCTGATGGCTCCATCCCGCTGTGCAACAAGTTGAACTTCTCGCTTTTTAGCGGCATACACATATTTCCCAAAAAGGACCCAATCAAATAGCAGCCCAGAAACGAAATGCGTGGGTAGCTCTGGATTTGGCAAGGATCCTCGAGTCGCCACAGTTGGTTCATGCCGCGATGGGTGGTTGAGTTGGATTTTCTGGCTGAACCCACCGAACTGCGCGAAGCTCGCACTGTCACTGGGAGTTGATCCCCCAGCTGGCCAGCCAACAGGCTAGTTTCTGTCGAGAAGCCGCATGCACCTTTGAAACTGGGCCCTGCCAAGTGGACAGGAATACGTGAGCCCAGTCAACATGCATTTCCGGCATGGGATCCACCTACTGAGACCAAAGCAAACCTGGATGGGCAAGGGTGGTTTCTTGCGGGACCCGCCGCCCCATTCCATGCATTCCTTTGGGGGTTGGTACAACATACACTTGGACGTCGTACATTTCCTTTTGAAGCTGACAAAATCGGCCGTCAAGGAGGTGCAAAGCAAGCAACATGGAACATATAGGAAGTCAAGTGGACACGACACACATTCTTTCTCTGAGAAGGACGGGTATCCTGGCCTGCCATGCCTGCTCTTGGAGCTCGCTTGTCTTGCTTTTGCATCTTCTCCTGGCAAGCGGTTAGGAGTGGTTGCCATGCGAACTGCTTTCAACTGGAACCAGGCAGGCTTCGTAAAGCAGATAACTACCTGCCCCCATCTGACGACGCGCAAAGTTCCAAGAACTGCGCAAGCCGTTTGTGGCTGGTTTGGATAATTAAAGGTGGGCTTTGATGGCATCAACCTGTCAAGCTGTTCAACTAGGACAAGGATAAAAATGCACGTCTTGCTGGCAGGGAAAATCAAATCATGTCCCCAACACATAAGCTCGAAAGATCCTAATTTCGACAAAATCGCAGCGCAAATTAGACGGGTTCTAAAGCCCATTCTGGTGGGAGGGGCAAAAACATGCTAGACCAGTATACTTGAGGAATGATCATGTCCTGAATTTCTACAGGACATTTATGCTGAATACCCAACAACACCGGGAGGGGGGGGAGATTTTCCTGAACTGAATGGCTTGGAACCAAAAAAAAAAAAACACATAGGACTCCACTCGAGCCTGGCGCTCAGAGGCCTTCTTCGCCTGTTGGGAGGTCGGCATTTGCAGGCGTCCCGCAGCAACATGTCCAGGATCCTCTAACACCATGGAGAAATAAACACATATTCTCAAACTGAAAGATTTACACGTTCCCAAACTGCCGTTTCCATCAAGGTCTACTCAGATCCACTCATGGGAAGTTGTTGTGTGGGAACCCACGAAGTGTAAATTGTTGCTTCAGGTTTGGGGGGCTCCCGCGTGGCGCCTACCCATTTTCCGGCTGGCAATGAAGCCCGTGCTTTCTGAAATCAAAAAAACGTTTGTTGCTGGGGAACGGGGGAAACACACGGGTTCAACCAACAAGTTAAGCGATAAAGATCATTTCCATTCGGGCCAATGTTCTTAGGGCCCTTTAGGCACGGCACCTTGGGCGGCACCATATTTGTATTCTTCACAACCCCCTTCTTTGTTCCGCAAAGGGAAGATTGGGGCCCGCTCCATTCCCAGATGTTTGTTTGTAAAACAGTTGGGTTGTCCCCCACTTGACTGAAGCCAAAAGGAACCCGGGCCACGGTCCAACTGCCCAACGGATCCATCCCCGACTTCATGAGCTCGACAAAGCCCCACCTCACGTTCTGAGTCGATAGCCGAGAAACTCGTTTTGGGACTGGTCGGTTCCCACGAAAGCGATCTTGTCAAAAAGTCGTACGTCCAGAAACTGGGGGAAGTCAAATAAACAGAAGTATCGCGAGGCCTTGATGGCTTCCACCGGCACCGCATTCTTCACCTCAGTCCATCGTATCGCCGACTCACTCGCAAGCCGAGTCGAAAGCACAGCCTGGCTCCGACATGCCATCATATCTTGCCGAAAACCAGCAGCAAGATCCTCCAAACGTATCCAAACGATTTCACGGGGCGGGAGTGACTGCTCGCTGGACCTAACGGATACGATGAGATTTCAGGTTGATTCGCTTGAGACGAACCCAACCATCCCAGGGGGACCATCAACACCAGGCAACCGAGGCAACCGAGGCAACCAAAGTGCTAAGGACTTGAAACAAATAAAAGTGCTCCATCCTCTTTTTCTTCATGTGGAATCAGACCTAGTTGCTTGCCTACCCAGCGAAGCACCTCAGTTCAAACTTCAACCTCCTGAGGCTTCAAATGCTCAAACTGCCTTGGTTCCAGTCATCGTGAAGGCTCTGCTTAGGCTCTGTTGGACAGCAACTGAACGTGTTCCCAGGCCGTGCTTCTGAAGCACAAGCCGCCCACTTTCCTCTGCCTTCGCGAGATAAAAGCAACAAAACAAGAACCAAGTGAACACAATTATGGTCAACCTGTTATCTTGGCCCGCACCTCGGGTACACAGAACAAATATATACTGTCAACTATTGTCAGATTCTGTTTCGCATCCATCAACCCGATGTAACAAAACAAAAGCTTTTCCCAGGTATATATATATATATGTGTGTGTGTGTGTATGCAGAGATTATATGTATCCGTGAAACGTCTTTCGCCAACCCAAACATATAACAGAGTTTTGGGAGGGGGCCCAGGTATGGTAGCTGGCAGCAGGGGACCCTTTGGTGGTGCACATTGGGTTGGGGTGTCCACCAACCACCGTTGGAGGTGGTTCCAACTGTCACTGGAAAATCGAGAAATCGCCTGGGAGCCCCACAGCGTTGAAGACCTGATTGCGTCGCTGCGTCAGGCCCCCCGATTCAGCAAAAGGTCTCCGCGGGCCGCGGGGCGATTCACAAAGACCAGCCATTCCTTGCCAGAGTTGATGACTGCCAAGCGTTTCTCGTCTATGGGCTGAGTTCGGTACCATGCAGATTCACTCGGAAGACGCACACACATTTGTCAAGGCTCAACCCCAAACCTGAGGGCAAAAACTGTTCGAGGTACTAAACGTTGACCCAGTAAAACATGAAGCAATTGCAACAGCATTTTCCTTAGAGTGCCAAGGACATAGTATTGGTGAGCAGCTATTAGATGCTCCAAGTCTAGTCTCAGAGCCACTTGCAACAACATAAGCCAAAAATTATGAAATAAACCTCCACCTGGCAAAAGAGTATGCTACTACAAAAAATAGCATGTTCTTTTCGAGGAACCACCTTTGGCGGGGACTCCTTTTTGGATTCCGGGCCATTTCCAGGGGACGCCCTTCATGAATATTGCACAAAACCCGGCTAGAAACCATGCTATGGTTTGGATGAGCGGGGGTTCAAGCGCACGCCAAAGGGGAACCTTCCATTTAAAGAGACCCCCCTGTCAGGTGCCATGTTCGTGGGAAGGAGGGTGGGAGTTCGGGGCCTAGATTTTTCTGGATGCTGATGCTCGCTTCCTCTAGACATACCCTCATAAATAATACCTGGGGAACTCCTCAAATGGCTCGTGCCCCAACATCTTAGAAGCCCAGCCACGGGAAAGGGAGCACAAGTTAAAGACGATGGAAAACCAAACCGAACACGAACCAGCTGCACCATGCTGAACCCCCTGTTTGTTATTTCGTGGCAAGTCCCAAAAACCCAAAGCTCCTGAGATGTACAAAAAATAAGCTGCCAAAAGGCTGAAAGCTAAGAAGTGAAGCGAGTGAAGTTTGGTTCTGGTCTCGCACCGTTCTCGCCTTCCGCTTCTCTTGGAAAACCTTCTGGCAAATGCCCTCGTGGCGTTCCAGCGCTGAACGCCTCACGCGGGAGCACCTCACCACATATCCTACCCGGGGCCTCACCCTGCCAACAAGTTGAATGGTTCATGAACACAACAAAACTTGGCCCGACCCCAGACCACGCAACAACAAAACACACACCCACACACATCCTGGGAAACT